GAATTTGAATTTATAGCAGTTTAACTTCAATAGCACACAAAAACTCTGCTCCTTTACAGCTGTATCCACCCCTTTCAGTTATTGCTGTCTCAAAATTACATTTATAATATATATTATATATCGTGTGCCCCAAAACATAATTTCAAATGCATTAGTCTCCTAAATTATGTAGAAACGATTCAGTTATGAACCAAAATACAGTAATACTAGCTTTTATACTAGTAATTTTTATTTAAATTTACTAGTTTCTTAAGTCATGTAGAAAACAAAAAATGGTTACAAACCACTGTTGTGATACAGCTTTTATAATTCCCCATGTTTATCTTTACTGAGATCTTGATTTCTCCAGTTGGCCTTGAGCTATCTCGTGTCCTTGTGTCACCCTCCAGGACTCCCTTGAGCATCTCTTGCAGGGCAGATCTAGTGGTTACAAGCTCCCTTGGTTTTTGTTTATTTGGGAATGTCTTAATTTCTCCCTCACTTTTGAAGGACAGTTTTGCCAGATATAGGATTCTTGTCAATAGCTTTTTAAAAATATACGCACTTTAAATATATCAGTCCAGGGGTGACCAATTAGCTCAGTCAGTTACAGCGTGATGCTGATAACACCAAGGTTGCCGGTTCGAACCCCACATGGGCCTCTGTGAGTTGCACCCTCCTTAAAAGAGTCAATGATGCCATTGTAGCATTAAAGCAATGTGTAACCAATGACCGTGGCTGTTCCCCAATTATATATGTATCAGCCCACTGTATTCTGGTCTCCAAAGTTTTTGATCTCTACGAGAAATTTGCTGATAATCTTTTTGAGGGTCCCTTGTATGTGACAATTTGCTTCTCTTTTGCTGCTTTCAAGATTCTCTCTGGCTTTTGTAAATTTGATTATAATGTATCTTGGTTATAATTATTTCTTTGAATTCATCTTACTTGGAATTCATTGGGTTTCTTGGATGTTTATATTCATGTTATTCACCAAGTTTGGGAAGTTTTCAGCCATTACTTTTTCAAATACTCTCTTTGCCCCCCTTCTCTCTCTTCTGGGACTCCCACGATGCATATGTTGGTCTGTTTGATGGTGTCCCACAGGTCCCTTAGGCTCCATTTTCTTTTCTTCAATCTTTTTTCTTTCTTTTTCGGTCTGACTCAGTAGTTGCCATTGTCCTATGTTCAAGGTCACTGATTCTTTCTTGTGCCTGATAAATCTGCCTTTGAATCCCCCAAGTGAACTTTTCAGTTATTGTACTTTCCAGCTCCAGAATTTCTTTTTGGTTTCTTTTTATGCTTCCTCTCTCTTGCTGATATTTCCATTTTGCTCACGTAGTATTTTCTTGACCTCCAAATCTTCCTTTAGTTCTTTGAGCATCTTTAAGATGGTTCTTTTAAAGTGTTTGCCTAGTATATCTTTTTAAGAGACAGTTTCTGTTGATTTATTTTTTCCTTTGAGTAGGCCATAATTTCCTGTTTCTTTGTATGCCTTGTGATTTTCTTGTTGTTGTTGAAAACTGGACATTTTAATCTATTAATAATAATAACATAAGTCTGGGAATCAGGTTCTTCCCATTCCCCAGGGTGTGTTGGTTTTTGTTATTGTTTTTATTTTTTATTTGTTTTAATTGTTGTAGGCTCTGTCTGTGCCACGGATCATCAGCCTGAGGTCTAAACCTTAGGTCATCTCAGGTCTTTCTGAGCCATTCCCTGGGCATGCTTAGTCGCTTTCTAATTTTCCCTGTATATGCAGATGTTTTTGAACATCCTAGTTTTTTGCTTGTTTTTTTAATTGGGGAATTGGGGGATGGGAACAGCACTGGGGAATCGGGGGAAGGGGAACAGACAAGTTGCTGTCCTTTTGTTCTTCAGTCTAGTTGTGGAGGACATCGTTTCACTGGCCCAAGTTGGCACCATCATTGCGCTCTTCCCGGGTGAGGCGGATCAGTCGCCGGCTTCTGGATGGCCGCTCACTGTGGCTGCTGGCCGCTCATGCTGGCTGCTGGCTACATACGGTAGCCCATGGCAACCCACTGAAGCAGTGGGGGTGGGCAGCCCACGATCCCATGCAGAAATCGAACTGGCAACCTTGTTGTTAAGGACACACATTCTAACTAATTAAACCATCTGGCCGCCCACCGGCAGCTTGGGGCTGCTCAGCTCAAGGTGTCATGTTCAATCTTAGTTGCAGGGGGCGAGCAGAGCAGCCCACCATCCCATACGGGAGTCGAACTGGCAACCTTGTTAAGAGCACACACTCTCACCAGTTGAGCCATCCGGCCGCCTCTTGGCAGCTCAGCTTAGGCGCAGCTCACTGGCCCATGTGGGAATCAAACAGGTGACCATGTTGCTCAGAGCTTGCGCTCTAACTGCACCACCTGGCCGGTCCCCCTGAACGATTTTTGAGCTGATCGCCATTTCCTCCCATGGACATGCTCCTGGAGACCAAAGTCCCAAGAACAACTAATTCCCCGAAAGCTGAGTCACCTATGCTGAGCAGGCGGGAGAAGTAGCTGGAGTGGGAGACACACTTGAACGGGCTCATGCTCTGGGTCCAGAGGTTTCTCAGATCACTGTTTTCCTAGCTGTTATCACGTCTACATAGCCACCTGATTAGGGCACTCCCGTTTAAAAACCACTGGCACCTGTTTGCAGCTTTTACCAAGTACTGTATTTTCAAAAGTAAATCAGTTTGTCAGCATTCGCCAACCTTGGCGATGACAGCTTTTTTTTCATCCTCAGGTGTGGGCTCCCTCACCCCCACAGCACTTCCACACGCTGTACCATCAGGACGGCTATTTCCACCCACCCTTCCCTCCGCTCGCTTGGGCAGCCAGCTTCCCCAGACACCCCGACTCCCTAGCGCTGGCCGCAGCCCAGTTCCTGCACCAGGCAGGCCCCTACATGTTGTGGGACAGGTGGATGCCCCGTGGACTCTGGAAGATCAGGCGCATTAAGGGCAGGACTCTTGATCCCCTAGACCCCAGCACACAGCACCCATTCAGGCCTGAGTGGGTGTGACTGCCGGCCAGGGGTTGAGATGGTCCCTGCACTGCACTGACCTCCCTGCTGTCAGCCCTGGGTGGCAGCCTGGACACCGCAGAGCTTATCTGCGCTCTGCTGCGCAGTCAGTCGTGTCAGAGCAGGCAGCCCCGCCCCTCCACTTCCTGGCTCCATCATGTGAGCACCAGGTCCCAAGGCCTGTCCAGGTGTGGTCTGGATGTGCTTGTGAAGGGCAGAGGTTTCAGCATCGGATAGACACGTCTAACCCGAGGGCCTGGGATGTCTGGGCCCCTGGACACATTCCCCCTGCAGACTCAGGGCACAGACACTCGCTACACAGCCCTGGCCCGTTCTAGCTCAGCGAGGGTACACAGGAACAGCCCAGCTCCCAGGGGCCTAGGATGGCACCTGCCTCATGGCAGGGAGAGCGTAAGCAGTACCAACCACCCCTCTTTTGGGCCAGAGCAGGCCTGTGCGCGGCGGTCCTCACATGCTGGGGCACTCCTGAGCCTGTGCTCCCACATGTGGACGTGTACAACGCTCAGCACTGGTGTCAGCCCAGGGCCACCAGTCCTCATCCCAGCCCCAGGCGGGGACACAGTCCACGGCAGTCCCACTCAAGAAGGAACATTACAGGGAAAGCTCAAAGTGCCCCATCTCCTATACCTGGGCAGGCTCCCCGAGGGACAAGGCACAGCCAGCACAGGCCGGTGCAGGCTCTCAGGGCCAGGCGTCTGCTCGCCTACCTCAAAGGGAAGGTACAAGCGCAGCCCCTCCCACGCTGTGGGGAGACTCCCGAGGGGACCTGGCAGATGCTGTAAAGCTGCTACCTCGTTCAGCTGCAGTAACCATTGCTTCTGGTGGACGTGGGAATCCTGGGTGTGTGACACTGGCTGCTGTGCCACACCAAGTGGATCCCACCCAAGCAGCAACCCCGTCACACGTGGCCTGGGCCCTGCAAGTCCTCATGGCGTAACAGGAACAGGAAACGTGGTAGCCCAACTGTCACCAGGTGCCAGGCCTCCATCCCCATGCAGCTGTTTTTTTTGTAAAGATTTTTATTGGGGAATTGGGGGAAGGGGAACAGACAAGCTGCTGTCCTTTTGTTCTTCAGTCTAGTTGTGGAGGACATCGTTTCACTGGCCCAAGTTGGCACCATCATTGCGCTCTTCCCGGGCAAGGCAGATCAGTTGCCGGCTTCTGGACAGCCGCTCACAGCGGCTGCTGGCCACTCACGCTGGCTGCTGGCTACACGGTAGCACATGGCAACCCACTGCAGCAGGGGCTGCAGCCTACACTGTCGCAGGCGACTCAGGGCAGCCCAGCTCCAGGTTGAGCTGTTGTTCAGCATGTTAGCTGTGGAGGGCAGTGTCACTGGCCCTCATGTGTGGGATCTGAACCAGGGCCCTCTGGCGTCCCAAGCCAGCTCTTAACCAACACGCCGCTCGGCCGGCCCACCATGCAGCTGTTTTGATGGCACAGCTGAACCTTCTTTTGCAAATACTGCAGCGCCCCAGGTGATGCTGATACTGGGCCCAGTGGGCAGTCACGAGCACCTGCTCGGGACAGCGAGAAGCTGGGAGGCCAGGACTGCGACTGGGAGTCGGTCCTGTGGGGGCCGCACAGCTGATTGGAGAGCACAGGAACAAGGCGAATGCATATCACATGGCGTCCCCTTAAATTCACACAGGTGCTGATGGGAGCAGGGCAGTGTGGGGTGCTTGGGGGACAGCAGGTTAACTCTACCATGTGCAGCATGGAAGGGGTGGGTGGACCTCATTTCTGAGCTTCAGGGGATGGGCGCTGGTCAGCGTGACCCCAGACAGGAAAGCCACAGGGGCGGCTGTGGGCTGGCAAGAGACCTGGATGGAGGCAGGTGTTCCCTGGGCCAGAAGGCCCCCAAGCTACACTGCCACACGGCTGCCCTCTGCTGGCCAAGGGAGCACTACGCACAGGCAGCCAGGCCTGGCCCCTGGAAGTGGCTTCTGGGGGGCCCCCTCCACAGGAGGCACATGGGGCAGCTAGAATATTTATTGTCCTTAAGGCACAAACCGCCAGCCGGGCCCCCAAATCCTATCAGTCTGGGGGGGGTGCGGACGGCTCCCTGCTGTGCTCAGCCCCGGATGCCTGGACAACCTCAGGAGGGCGCTGCCGCGGGCCTGTGCCTCTCTCCGCCGTGCCGGAAGCTGCGCAGTGGGTTGTGGGCCTTCACCTTCTGTGGGGCAAGATCGCAAGTCAGCTGCCCAAACTGACACCGACTCTGACAAGTAGGTGCTGTTGCCACTTGGCCAGGCCCTGCAGCCCACGAGCCACGGACAGAAGCTGCTGTGGTCACCACAGAAGGCAGCCCTCCAAGCCCCCACCTTCCTCCTCCCACAGGCCGGAGGTCACTAGAGCGATAGGGACAGAAAAGCAGGTCCTCCTGTGCTCATGAAGGCACGTGCAGGTGGCCAACAGAGTCCCAATGCCTGCAACTTTGAGCTGACAACAGGGGTCTGGGGCCAGTTGTTGGGGCTGCTCTCCCTCCCAAGGGCAATGTGTGTGCACCCCCTGGGGACAAAGGAACAAGGTGGGGAGGAGGCCTGCAGCTGTCGCCAAAGCCTGGGTGACATACCTTGACCTTCTTAGAGGACGGCTTCTTCCGCTTCCTGTGAGGATGGACGACGCCTCGAAGAGCAGGAGGAACTGGAGGCGACAGGTGGCGTCAGCAGCCCCACCCTCCTCACCCCCATGCCCTCCAGGCCTTCCAGCTGGTCCTGTACCCTTATGACCCAGGGTCCAGGCTCCAGGGCCACATTAAAATGCCTGTGGCCACACAGCTACTTCTCACACAGAACGGCCTTCCCAGGGTGGGATTATGGGGACTTCTCTCTAAATCGCTCTTTTGCATTTACATGTTAGCGGTGGCCTCCCCCACACATCTCCACCAGTCAGGCCCCAGTCACCCCCCAGCCCATGCCCAATTGCTCACTGCCACCTGCCCGAGTGGTGCTGACAGGTCCAGGGGCCTCCGAGCAGCACTGCCGCTCCGACACCCAGCCTCCCAGCCACACGGTCAGCAAACGGCTTTGTTCCTGTGACACATGGAGCCCCCTCTTCGTGCCACGCTCACCCAGGTAGTCGGGCACGTGGCCTAGGTGCGGCTTCACCACAGCGGGATGCAAGGGCAGGTCGTGCCGCAGCAGCTGCAGGTCCCTGGGGTTGTCTTCAAAGTACGTCTGCCAGGAGAGACAGAGCGCTGAGGGTGGCTGTCCCTGTAACTTCACAGGGATTTTGGCCACAGGTAACCCATGTCCCAGAATTTAAATGGCTGAAGTTTCCCATCGGTGTTGTTGTGGTGGTCACTCTGTACCCTTGCAGAGGCAGCTGCTCACTCATCACTCAGTACCATCCTAGACTGTTCCCTCCCTGTCCATGAGGCACACAGGAGCACAGCAGACCATCTCTCGGCGCCCCCGTCCCTGGGCAGCCACCCGTCCCTGTCCCCTGGAGCCGTCCTAAGCTGCTCCCTCCCTGTGTTGCTCAGCACTTCCCTGCCATGGACGCTCAGGTGCCCCCTGCTAGAATCACAATGCTGTGAGGAACACGTGACTGTGAACACGTTCACAGATGCTATTACTCTGACGGACGCATGTTCCACCTGCCCCATCCGTCATGCCGCCTCCTGGCCTCACCTTGAGCCTCTCCGAGCGCAGGAGTTCCTCCTTGATCTCCTTCAGCCTCGCCTCTCGAATGGCTTGTTTAGTCACCGAGCGCATGGCGTCCTGGGGGGACACCAAGAGTCAGGACGCTGGGCTGGGGGCTGCAGAAACCCCATGGCTCGCCCCCTGACCCCACTCACCCTGCAGCGGTAGCGGAAGCCTTCAATCTCCTCCATGTGGAACTGGTAGGGAAGCAGGGCGGGGGCCCCGGTCTCTGTGCAGAAGGCAGCAGTGAGGCCCCCACACCCCTCCCAGGGGGGAGGCAGCCGGGGACCCCACCCTTGCCATTCTTGCCAAGTGCACACACAGCCAGAAACCTGGGACTCACAAACATGCATGACAGGAGCTCCAGATGCTGTCCCCAGGGCAGCCCACTGTCCCCACATTGTGGGTGCCCGACATAGTCCTCATCCTCAAGACCGGCCCACCCCCCACTGTCCTCCCAAGGCCTCTCTGGCCACAAGGGCACCCGTGCTGACAACCGCAGAGCAGTGAGGAGCACCCTGCAGTCAGCCACCATTCTAAGCACTGTCCCAGCAGCACACTGGGTCACTTGACATTCCTGACAAGCTGACAGGCGGCACCAGTATCTCCCATGTCAGGTAAGAAAACCAGGGCAGATGAGTGAGGCCCAGGGGCTCGATGGCACCTGGTGAAGGGTGTCCATCCCCGGCCCCCCACCTCAGGCAGGAGTGAGGCCCCACAAGGGGCACACTTGGGCCCTCCTGGTGGGGGACAGTACGCACCCCCCCATCCTCGTCCTGCTGAGCAGCCCCCTCTCCTGAGACACCACCAGCCCCTCCCTCAGCCTATCTGCCCCTGGAGATAGGCAGTAACTGCGACTCTGGACATCACCTGATGGAGTCTGGACCTGGGCTTGCTCATCTGCAAAGGGGGCAGTGCCTGCCAGCAGGCGGACGGGGAGGGTGCGAGGGACATGGCACCAGCAGAGCCAAGTGGGTGGGTGGCTGCTGGCGACACTAGTGCCCTTGCTGCCATCACCATCCCTGGGCTTAAGGCATCATGGGCGAAGCCTGGCCCTGGCTCTTACCTCCACCAAGAAGCGCCTCGATCCTGCCCAGGTGGGACTGCTCTGTGGGCAGTACGAAGGTCAGGACTGTGCCTGGGTTGTTGGCACGCGCCGTCCTGCAAGGAGAGCCGGCTCAGCCTGTGTCTCTGGCCCGAGTCCTGCAGTGTGCCCACGGTCCCGGCCCCCAGATCAGCACGCCCCAGCATTCCTACCTGCCAGCTCGATGGATGTAGGCCTCAGGGGTGGGGGGCAGGTCAAAGTTGAGCACGGCGCACACGTGGTGGAAGTCTATGCCCCGGGCTACACCTGCCTCAGGATCGGAGGCCCTGCAAGAAACCCACAGCATTCAACCCTGCTCTCCCCAGCTCGTATCCTCCAGTTCGGCCAATTGGCAAGTTCTCCAAAAAGGCCCTTGCACAGAGCCAGGGGACTCGGCTACAGGTAAGACTCTTAACTTCTCAATCGTTCCAGGAGCTGGGGAAGTGGGGGTGGCCAAACCCTTGCCCTGACCTCAGCTCTGGGACAACCACGGAATTCCCTGCCCCACAGGGTGGTCCGAGAACCACCTCAGGCAGACAGAGACTGGGGTCTCCCATTTCCCCCTCCGAACTACCCTACCCCAAGTTACAGCTGCACACCCATTGCAGGCTAGCCATCTCCCTCAAAGGACAGGGTGCCATCAACCCAGGCAGCCTTGCCCCTCGTGCTGCCCACGGAGCATGTGTGTCCTCCATCCCCTTCTCTATTACCAGGAGCTGAGCATGGGCTCTGTGGACTGTGCTAGCAGCCAGGCCTGGCCCCCCAGCCCAGGCACTCTGGTTTCAGTCTTCCTAGGGAGGGTTGGAGGACAGAAACAAGGACTCACCTGTTCCCCTTGGGCCCTTTGCCCCGACGCTTGCCTTTGACCGGGGCCCCCAGGACTTCGGCATCAGTTGCTATGACACAGTCATAGAAGCCCTGGTTGAACTGTGAAATGATGTGGCACCTGTGGCCCAAAAGGGGAGGGTCAGTCCCAGGAGCATGCTGGCGGCCACCTCTCATCCCTGGCACCGCTGAAACAGTCACCCTTTCTGACTTTTTCCTCTTCTTAAACTCATCCCCCACTTAATGTTTGTGCTCAACCCCCTCAGTTGAACATGCAGCGACAATAGGTATCTCACAGCTGTGAGCCAGTCACTGAGAATCCATCAAACCCAGAGCCTGGCCTCCGAGTGCTTAAAACAGGCACATTAGCCGCAATGCCCAGCATGGCCCACCTGGAGCGCACGGGGAGTTCTCCGTTGAGCACGCAGGTGGGGACATGGAGCTGCTCCAGGAAAAGGCGCAGCCGGTAACTCCGCTCCAGTGTGTTGACGAAGATCAGGGACTTGCCCCGGATCAGCGACAGCTTGAACAGGGCGCACAGCAACAGAAACTTGTCTTCTTCGGTGGCGCACACCACCTGAAACTGCTGCAGCTGCTCCGACCCTGGCAGCTGGGACTCCTGCAACTTGAGAGTAACCTGGGGGGAGGACAGGCCTATGGTCAGGAGAGACGGAAGGACAGAAATGCTCCTGCAGGCTGTGGGCTGACCAAGCACGGTGCAATGTGCTAACATGTGAATGCAGGGCACCCGCGGGCCCCTCCAGCTAGTGGACGAATTCAAAGTACCCGGCTGTTGGGACAGCCGGTTGGCTCAGTTGGTTAGAGCACAAACTCATAACACCAAGGTTATCTGTTCAATTCCCACATGGGCCACTGAGCTGTGCTCGACACAACTAGATTGAAACAACTACTTGACTTGGAGCTGATGGGTCCTGGAAAGGGCACATTCTTTCCCAGTTAAAAAAAAAAAAAAGTACCCAACTGTCATGGGGCATGTAGGCCATACAACTGCATGCAAAGTATTCAAGGCACAGAACAAAAAGAAATGCACGACCAACGAATACAGTGAGGGGCAGCCCTCCAGCACAGTCTTTCTGAAAGCAGAGGTCACATAAGGAGAGAACTTTGGCCCTGCTGCTCAAGACGGCCTTTCTGCCCTTGGGGGTCCCTGCTCAGGGCTGTGGGCGAAGCCCTAGGGGACATCTGATTTTTAGATTTGGGGGGATGACTACTGGCTTCTAGTGCTTCAGAACCAGGATACTAAGCCAGTAACAACCATCCCCCCCAAATGTCAAAAGCTCCTTTGAGAAGGATCGAGTCCTTTAAGTGTCATGTGTCAGCGACTCCAGACACTTCCACGAGGTACTTACCGGGTTATGCAGCACAAGCTCCTTGAGTGTTTGTACATCCTCATTAAAAGTAGCCGACATCAGAAAAGCTTGATAAATCCGGGGCAAGTGACTAAAACAAAACAGAACGCCATCAGACTCCAACTCCAAAGACCTCCAGCTGGCGGCTGGACTTCTGCCACCAGCTCCAGACCCTGCAGCCTATTCTCAGCCCCACATGCCTCCTCCGTACCAGAGAAGACTCTTGAGCTCTTCCTCGAAGCCAAAGGAAAAGAGAAGATCAGCCTCATCCATCACCAGCAGCTCCAGCGAGTCTCGCAGTTTCAAGCTGTCTTGCTGCAAGTGGCTTAATATGCGAGAGGGGGTCCCCACCACTACATCGGGCTTCTCCATCAGCAGAGCTCTGCAGGGGGCAACACCTCAGCACAGGGGAGAAGGTCCAGCTAGGACCTCACCCCAGAACAGCCCTCTTTCTTGCGGCACACAAGCCCAACCCCACATGTCTGTGCAGTTTCATTCCTCTACAGCCCCGTTGCTTTCACCCACCTCTGAGAGGCCGAGTCATCCGCGGCTGACACATTGGCCACCCGGATGTCTCGGGCACAGTAGGCTGCCAGCTGCTGAATCATGGACTGGGCCTGCCGTGCCAGTTCCTTGGTGGGCACAAGGACGAGGCCTCTCACCGCCTGCTCTACCACGGGGCCTGTCTGCAAGAGCACAAATTAAAGACTTCAGCCAGCCAGTTCGTGTCATCGTGGCCACTGGATGTTTTCTCTAAGTCTTCCGGGCAATCTGACCCAACTGTTGTGACTTCAACGCAACTTAGCTGTGTTCTGATCAACCCCTGGCTTACTTCTCCCACCTCAGGATGTAGAACGAAGGGTTCTTTCCCCAGGCGCTAATCTGACAAAAGAACAACTTTATGGCTATGAAGTTACTTAAAACGCACCAGTTAGGGCGCTGGAGTTTCACAAGAGTCTAATAAGTAGTAGAGAAAGATATGCCCACTTTTTATGGTAGAAAGATTTACTCAAGATTACACCAAGAATGGTGGCAGCAGGGCCTGGACTACGATCCAAGTAACCTGGATTCCAGTCCACAACGTTTGCCACAACAGCACCAGATTCTCTCCGGCCAGCCCTCACAGGTAAGAGGCCAAAAGAAACCTGGTTTGGGGGAAAGACTGGGGGCGGTGTGTGTGTGTGGCGGGGGTGGGGGGCTTTCCAAGAGGGCACAACGGGCACGCAGACGCCTCCATTTCCCTTCTCCGCCTTTGGGCTCCCCGTCCCCCCCCCCCGCGACCCACCGCCTTCCTGTGGAGCAGCAGCTGCAGCATCGGAATGGCATAAGCGGCCGTCTTCCCGGAGCCAGTGCGGGCCCGCGCCAGGAGGTCCTTCCCCTCCAGGGCCAGCGGGATGGCCTTCTCCTGGATCAGCGTCGGCCGCGACCAGCCCAGGTCGGTGACGGCCTAGGAGAGACGAGGGGCGGCTCGGGTGGCGCGCTGCCCTACCGCCGCCCCCCGCCATGCCCGCCCGGCTCCTCAGCCCGCCCGGTACCTGCAGGAGCCGAGGGTCGAGACCCATGTGTTCGAACCCCAACGCCTCTGGGTCAGCCATGCTGGAGCGCTGTAGTGACACCGCGCACGAAAGGAAGGAAGAGCGTGATGACGTCTCAAAGCAATAACCAATCAGCGTCGGGGGAGCCATCGCCTCCCGGAAGTACTGGACCGTGGGCTTCCGGTGTTCCGGAGGGGCTCTGCGGCTGCGGCGGAGAACGGGACCGTGGTCTCGAGGCGGAGGCGGCGGGGGCTTGGGGGGGTCGCCTGAGAGCCCCACGGGTCCTCTCCTCTCCCCTGACGCTGCCTCCCAACGCCGTGCTGGGTTAGGGTTACCGGCACGGGCGGGGCTGCATGGACGCGGGTGTGGCCCCTCGGTGCCTGCCTCCGCCCACCGACGGGAGCCAGACAGCTCGCTAGTTCACAGTTGCGGGCTTATGTATGGCTTTACCGTCTTTAGCGCTGCTTTGGTCAGCCGTGCACTAGTCGTTATGCCCCACTGGCCGTACCCTAACAAACACATCAACCGTTAACGCGCTCTTTCATGACTCCCTGAGAACAGGCGAGTCGCCTACTGTAGCGTAACGGGAACCGCCGGTGAGTCCTGCCCCCGGGAGCAGTGGTGGGAACGTAGGGACTTGAGCGGGGACCACAGCTTTGAGAGTAGAAAGCAAGTGACAGTGGGCGTAGCAGCATACGGCAGAGACCACCGAGAGGCTGGGCTAAGGCTCAGGGCCACAGACAGCCCACAGCAATTGGACTGCACGAGGTTGAGGGCTGGAAGAGTGAGCAGCACAAGATAAAGAGGGAGATGGGCGGGTCCGGGTTCCCAAACCTGGCTGCCCATCAGTTACCTGCACAGCTTGGCTAAACATAAGAATTCTTGTTTTTACAAGATTCCCACCTGTGTTAGTTTCCTATTGCTGCTGTAACCAATTACAGTAAACAGTGGCTTAAAACAACACAAATTTACTTATGGTTCTGTAGGTCAGACAGAAGTCTGACAAGGTCTCACTGGGTTGAAATCAAGCTGTTGGCAGGACTGCATGCCCTCCTGGAGACTCGAGAGGGGTGATTCCTGTCTTGCCTTTCCCAGTGTGGCCTCTTGCTCCATCTTCTAGGCCAGCAGCGGTGGGTTGAGGCCTCACGCGGCATCCCTGCAACCTCCCTTTGCTTCCCTCTTCCACTTTTAGAGAAACTTGTGATGACACTGGGCACACCCAGACAATCCAGGATACGCTCCGTTTTAAAGGCAGCTGCTAGCACCGGTAATTCCTCTCTGCCATATAAGGTAACAGGTTCCTGGGACTAGCATGCGGACACCATTGGAGGGCTGTCGACCTGCCTACCACACCGCCCAAACAAACCAGCTCGATCAAACTGGATCTGCCTGTTGCTCAGGAGTCTGTGCCGATGAGTTTCCCAGACAGCCTTTTGCTCTGACATGGCCCCTGCATGAGAGCCGGAGGTGAAGCTCTGGTCTTTTAGGGTGAGGAGAGCAGTTCACGCATCTCAGGTCCAGTGAGGGTGGGACCAAAAATGAAGATGGGAACTGCCAGTCCTAGTGAGAGCTAGGGACTGGGTCAGGATGACAGGCGAGAATGGCTCCCTCCCACACACACACTTTTTTTGTGTGGTAAGGAGGTAGGCTGTTTGGTAAGGATGTTATATGGCCTAAGAAAAAATTTCAGGAAGGAAATCAGGGTAGTATGGGCAGGGGGTGTCACCAGAATTCCGCAGATGTAGCCAAACTGTATTGTAAAAAAACTTTCTTAGGCCATCATGTGTCTGAATGCCACACACCAGTGTGGAAATCTTCCTCCCCACAGGCAGCGCTGGTCAGCTCACCCTCCAGCCGTCACTCTTCTAACCTGCCCCATCAGTATAGTGTAATGCACTCCATTTGTCCTCATTCTGTTCCCCTTCTCTTGTCACAGACTCACAAGAGAAACCCAGGACATTCTGATCCATTGGCATCATCGAGGTACCCTCAATCGTGTCTACTGCTGGACAGACCGGCTGAAGCCAGTCCCAGCTCTTGTCGTTTCCTGTCCCATCATAGCCCAGGCTCGTCTCTGCTTTACTGCTAGATTCCAAGTAACAGCCAGAGCAGGAACGTGTCCCCTTCCTGACATGTCTCACACTCCCCAAGCCTCAGGCCAGAGGCCCACGCAGCCAACTAGTTCCAAGGCCATCTGATTTTCCATGTGTCAACTGTAACACAAAGAAAACTGAAAACTTTTAAATACCCAAAGAATTTTGGATGTCAATTATGGCATATTGACGGCATTTCCCCTCACTGGACTGTTAAGGCCATCCAGAGTTAGAAATAGGAATATGTAGAATTTCAAAAATACTTACAAAAATGTTAGACACAGCCTATAAATCAACACTTTTACAAGTAAAAGTAGGTACATATGGAATACTATAGGACATAAAGAAAAAAACATGGAGGAACTTAGTTGTGACAATAACAAAACCATGAAATAAAAATGTCACGAGTGGGCAACTAATGGCATTGTTTTCCACAGCAGCAGGGGATGAGGGAAGTGTAGTAAGCTGTGTTTAAACTCACTATCTGGGACTAACCTGCTCACACAGTTCCTTACTGATGGGTCTGCTTGGTTGACCTCTGTGAATGGCTACCCACCCACATCCCCAGAGACTGCTGTCAGGCCAAGCCCAGCCCCACGAGCCCACACACTGCAGGCCAGCTGGTCAACTGCAGATGCAGTCCAGGCCAGCAGCCTTCCCTCCATTTCCCTTTGTGCCTCCCCTCTGCCCACAACCTCTCAGTTTGTCTCAAACACAGCTACTACAACACGTTTTATTTTGCTGGAAAAGTCTATGTAGTAAAGAACCAAACCTGGCTCCATGAAGAAAACATTTACCACAGCTTAAATAAAGGATAGGAGAGGGAAGGGAGGAGTGCCCTGCCTGTGCTGTCACGACCTCACTCTTACTCGGAGGCCATATATGACGGAACTCCCAGGGGTCCTAGAGGAGCCTCTGCTTGGCCCTCTGATAAGGCCTTGATAGCAGCTGGGATGTCCGATTCTGGCACGCTGAAATCCTGACAGCAGCCACAGTAATGATCAAAAATGTGGATAAACAACGCAGAGGGACTGCTGGCGTTCTCAGCTAGTGACACACAGCACTTCAACTAAGAAGGAAAATATATAATTTATCAAAAAATAGTTTTAGTATATAGAAAAAGATTTCAATCTAGGGTCTCTGCCCCTTATTTACATTCACGAAGCCACTGAGTGAACCGGGCTGCCGGGAGCAGGGAGGTGGGGCCTCCTCGGTGGGGCATTAAGGTCACCTGCTGCATAAGTGGACCGAGACCAAGTTACAGGAGGAGGAGAGGCTTTTCATTTGCTCATTTTGTGACAGGGCGGAGGGGAATCAGTGGAGGTCAGAGAAGCAGACTTAGTCCTGGGTCAGCTCTGACTGCGCACAAACCCCATGACACCTGTGAAAGCTTGGCCCAATGTCCCGTGTCCTTGAGAACCTGTGTTAACAAGTGCTGACCTGGATGCTTTGTTGCCATGGAACCAGTGCGACGTATATTCTATTTTCACTTTTTCCTTTACAATCCAGGTGGATAAGGTATCGGGTGGGGAAAGAGCCAAACATCTGGGTGGGAGGGCGGGTCACGCAGAGAGGACACTATACCAGCTTCTTGGCCTCAAAGAAGCTCTTTAGGTGCCGCATCTGCCAGATGCCGGTGAGGATGAGGATGAGGGTCTGAGCGATGGACCACCACAGAACCCTCTGGTTGGTGCTCTCACTGGTCAGACGAAAGCGCTCTTCCCGATACTGCAGGGGACAATGGAGCCAGGGTGAAATGTGCAGAGACCAGCGCTCCCGGCTGCTGTGAGGACTGCGCCTCCCTCCCTCCCGTGGGACCACTCAACTGTGGGACCGAACGCCTCTGTCCCGCCTGATTCCATTGGGAGTGCCCACAGAAGTGAGGTGCTGCCCCTCCACAAGCATCTCTGCAGGGACGGAAATCACGCTCCTACCATTTCAAGCAGCATCCCAAGGTAAGCAAGCAGTGGCTAGACTATGAACTGTCCTAGCTTCGCTTTAGCCTACAGAGCTTAAAAACAAGGTGCCCTCCGCTCCATTCTCTGGACAGTTCACTAGGAAAGCCCCAAGCGGAAACTTCCAGTAGGCGTAATGGGTACAAAGGTCGGCTGCCACATCCCAGCACAGGGACTCCCTTACCCTTTGGTAATCCTGCTCCTTCTGGATCTGTTCCACTTGATCAAGCAGCTGGCGGGCTCGGAGCTGCAGCTCCGTCAGTTTGTCCTTGGCAGCAATCTCGGGGTAGTTGTTCGCATGCTCCCCAACCTGGATGTCTAGGTGCACACGCTAGAAGGACACAGGGGTCACGGGGATGGAGCCCCAAAGTCGGGAGGTCAGAAACACTGATGTGACAGTGTCCCTGGCTGTGGGGCAGAAGGCAGCCTCTGTGTCCCCAGCTGTGGCTAGGCCATAAATGGTCACCAATGACGATGGCAATGAATCAAAACTTTGGAACCAAGTAAGAGGTTCCGAGCAGCAGCCAAGGAAAACCCCCTTACCAGTCTGCCACCGGCGAAGAGCGCCATCCTGGTCGAGTTGGAATGCAGGCAGATCTGATGGTCGCCAGGAGTGTGGGACGTGAAGGTGAATCGGCCCTCAGAGCCGTACTGCCGGGACAGCACCACCTGCAACACGGCAGCCAGCTAAGCCCCGACCTGCGCCGACCTCTCCAGGGACAGCCCGAGTCCTCTGGGCCCCGCTGAAGGCCGCCAGAGGCAGCCTGCCAGGCGCCCGGGCCGCGGCCTGCGGCGGCCAGCGGCGACCCTACCTTGCCTTCGGGGTCCTTCACTTCCACGTGCATGCCCAGGCCGGGGGTCGAGGGCAGGAAGACCTCTCTCTGCTTATCCCACATCTGGGTGCGGTAGTTCCCTGCGGAGCAGACACAGCCGTTACAACGCGCCTGTTCCGCCCGGTCCTGCGCTCCGCGGGGCGCCGCGTCCGCGTCTGAGGGACACGCAGGGCCCTGGCCACCCCCGCCCCGCCTGACCGATGACCATGGTCTCGTCGGGGATTTCCTCGATGAAGCAGCGCTTCTCGGTCTCGCCGATGTGGAAGTAGAGCCCCCGGGTGCCCGCCGCGCACAGCGCGAGCAGCAGCAACGCCGCTCTCCCCATCAACCGTCGCCGCCCGGCCCCGACACCTGCCATCGCGCGCCCTCGGTCTGGCGCGCACGCGCGCGCCTGCGCTCAGCTCCCAGGCGACGCAGTTCGGCCGGGCGCAGTGCGCTGTGCGCTGAGACGCCTGCCCGCCCCGCCGGACTCCCACGCCCCGACAGCTGCCAACGCGCACTTTCTACCCAACGCACATGCGCGCGCCTGCGCCCCGCGCCCACTAGACGCAGCGCGACGGGCGGGGAGTGCGCACGCGCTGATAGGTGTTCCCGCCCCACCCTGCAGGCTGTGCGCGAGCGCGGTGGGCGTGGGTTCCGCGGCGTAGAAGCCGAGTAGGCGGGACTCGCTGTCCGCGCGGCTGAGCTGGCGCTTGAGCCGCGCTCTTGTCGGGGCGGGGGCGCCCCGGGGGTGGCGTCCCGGGGGAGAGGGGCGCTGTGGACTTGGGCTTACCGGCGTTAGCGTGCGGGCGGTTTGCTGCCTGCGTTACCGTGATTTTCTGACGCCCCGTCGGGTGGAGGGGCGGCTGCTGGGCTCCTAGGCTGCGGTCGGAGATGCTGCGAGGAGGGACCCAAGGTCAGCGAGGCTGGGCGTCGTTCTCGCTCCCTGTCCCCGGGCTCGGGTCCTCCGCTGGCCCGCGGAGATGTTGAGCAGCACGAGCCCAGGTCGTGGCTTCGGCGGGCCTGTGGGAAGGGCTAGGCCCAGCGCTCCCTGTGCTGAAGACTGTCCTTGCGGAACACAACCCCCACGCCCACCCCGAACGAGTCTCGGCATCCTTAGCTTTGTATGTGCTGCCTGCCGCGTGTTATCCCTAAGGCCTGGGATTGAACCAAGGCGGACACCCTTGTGGCGTTAACGAAAGAAGTCGTACAAGGCAAGCCTCCCTGAGCAGCAGCAGTTCTGTGGTAGGGACCGAAAGCCTGTTTTTTTAGGCTTTCTAAGCTGGAAATTTGGGTTTTGGTATGAACGCTCCAGATTTTTCAATACTAGCTCAACTTTTGTTCACACTATCTCTGGCCACACATAGCTGTCGGTCACGTGCACAGTTTGATCTGTCCAGCGGGGGACAGTCTTCATTCGGGTTCCAGTGACTTGACCTGCTTGTTGTTGCCCACCCTCCCTCCTGTAGCAACTTCCCTGCGTTGCCTTGGAACACACTGGTGCAACATGAGACCGAAAATTCTGCGTAAGGAAATCGAGGAACACTCAGACTGAGGAAGGTCACGGGGCTTACATCTCCTGGTGGCAGCACCTCTTCCTGTGGGACAGAGGAAGATGAAAACCACTCAGAAAGCTACTTATTGGGCCTGGATTAGAGCAAAGGGAGGTTGAAACTTCGTTTTTAATTTTTTATTAAGAATTTCCAAACACACGTAAAAGAATTGTTATAGTGAACATCTGTATGCTTATCATCAGATTCAACAATAAATTTTTTGCCTTTTTGGGTTCACTGATCCCTTTCTGCATTTATTTCCTTGTGTATTAAAGAAAATCCCAGACATCATCACTTTACCCATAAATACTTAAGTGTGTGTGACAGATAAAGACTTTTAAAAATACCATTACTACACTCAATAAAATTAAAAATAACTTTAATGTCATCTAATACTTAGTATATGTTCAATTTCCCTCATTGTCTCAAAAAGCTTTGACTGTTAAGTCAGGATCCATCAAGGTCCATTACTGCAGCCATTGACACGTCTCCTAATCTCCTTTGACATAATAATTCCCATTCCCTTTCTGTTGTTGATGACGGTATTTACTTATTGAAGCAACTGGGTCATTTGACCAGTAGAATTTTCCACATTCTGGATTTTGCTGCTTGTATTTTCATGTCATTTAACATGTTTTTCTGTCCCTGATATATCCTGTAAACAGAAGTAAAGCTAGGGCAAGATAATTTATAATAAAACAAAATGTGTTTTAGTTCCATTATAATCATTATCCTTTTTCCTTTTAATGTGCAAATTGTCTCATGAAACAATTGTCTCCTGTGCCCTTTTCACAGAACTCTAGTAGTCTTTAGGGGCTCCCTTGCTTTCCATTTTGTGCATCTCCTTCCCAAGACACAAAATAAGCCACTTATCCAATAGTTATCTCATGGGTTGCCTCACGGTCCAACAAAGAGTTACTCCTGGCAGATCAGCAGGTAATGAGGTGAGTGGTAACAGGTACAAGGGAGACGGCAAACTAGACCTTTTAGCATCTTTTTTATTTTTGAACCATGTGAATATGTTACCTACTTAAAATAAAGTTCAAAAGTTAAAGTAGTGTTACCGCCATTGTCTATCACAGTACCGTTTTATGGATTTCAGACCATCAATTGCTGTCTTTGGTTTACCCTAAAATGTCAACTCCATGACAACATCGATCCTGTGTGTTGTGTTTATCTCTGTATCTCCACCACCTAGAATCAAACTGGTATAAATATTTGTTTAATGAATCAGAATGTATACTTTGATGAAAAACCATATCAAACAAAAGCCATGGGATGCAGCAAAGGCGGTGCTCAGAGAATTTATAGTCATAAATGTCTACATTTAAAAAGAAGATATCAAGTCAATGACCTAACTTTACATTTTGAGGAACCGAAAAATAAAAAAAGCAAACTAAACCCAAAGCTAGTAAAGGAAATTACAAAAATTAGAGATAAATAAAAGAAGAGAAAAGCAAAAGTCAATGAAAGTAAAAGTTGATTCTCTGAAAAGATCAACAAAATTGACAAACCATTAAGCTAAACTGACAAAAAAAGACATGTCACTAAAATCAGAAATGAAAGTAAATATTACTACTGACCTTACAGAAATAAAAAGGATAATATTATAGCAATTTCACACCAATAAATACGATAATTTAGGAGAATTGACAAATTCCTAGAAACACAAAAATTACCTAAAATAACATAATAAAAACAAAGACAAATATGGAATGAGTGGCTTCCCTGGTGAAGTCTACCAACACGTAAAGAAGAATTAACACCAATACTACTTAAACTGTTCCAACAAATTAAAGAGGAGGGAACACTTCATGACTCATTCTGTGAGGCCAGCATTACATTGATATTAAAGCCAGACAACAACATCACAAGAAAAGAAAATTAGACCAACATCCCACATAAATATAGATGCAAAAGTAAAAAACACTCCAAAAACTAGGAATAGAAAGCAACTTCCCTAACGTGATAATGGACATCTACAAAAATCCCACAGCAAACATAATGGTGAAAGACTAAAAAATTTTCCTCTAAGATCAGGAACGAGGGTGCCCATTCTCACCACTTCTGTTCAACATAGTATTAGAAGTTGTAGCCAGAGCAGTTAGGCAAGAAATAGAAGACATCCAAACTGGGAAGGAAGAAAAACTATATTCACAGGTGACATGATCCTATATATAGAAAATCCAAAGAATCCAAAAGAAAGCTACTAGAGTTAAAAATAAAATACGTAGGAATAATTTAACCAAAGGAGAAGTCTTAGATACTGAAAACTACAAAACATTGCTGAAAGAGAGAAGACAAATAAATGGAAATAAATGTTCATGAAATGAAGAGTTGATATTGTTAAAATGTAATACACTACCCAAAGTGATCTACAGATTCAATACAATCCCCATCAAAATTCCTATAGTCTTTTTTTTTTTCAGAAGTGGAAAAGCCAAACCTTAAATTTATATGAATTGTAAGGGGATCCATATTGTCAAAACAATCTTGAAAATGAAAAATAAAGTTGGAGAACTCACAAACACTTCTGGGTTTCAAAACCTATAGTAATGGCCGGCAGAGTGGCTCAGTTGGTTAAGAGCGCAAGCTCTGAGCAACAGGGTCTCCGGTTCGATTTCCACATGGGCCAGTGAGTTGTGCCTGAGCTGAGCTGAAGCTGAGCTGCCAACAGGTGGCAGGATGGCTCAGCTGGTGAGAGCATGTGCTCCTAACAAGGTTTCCAGTTGACTCCAACATGGGATGGTGGGCTACACCCATCCATAACTAAAAATGAACATGGTACCTTGAGCTGAGCAGCCATGAGCTGCTGATGGGCAGCCAAATGGCAACTGGACTTGGAGCTGAGCTAGCTGTGCCCTCCACAACTAAGACTGAAGGACAACAACTTGACTGTTCCCCTTCCCCAATTCCGCAATGAAATCTTAAAACAAACAAACAAACAAACAAACAAACAAACAAAAACCTACTATAGTAAAAGCCTACAGTAATCAAAACAGTATGGTCAAAACAGTTTGGTACTGGCATAAAGATAGCATACAGACCAATGGAATAGAACTGAGAGTCCAGAAATAAATCCAATATATATATTCAATTGATTTTCAAAGAAGGCGCCAAGTCCATTCAATGGGAGAAAGAATCACCTCTTCAATATATAGTCTGGGACAGCTGTAGTTCCTCATGAAAAAGATGCAATTGGACTCCTACTGCATATCATTTACAAAAATAAGCTCAAAGTGGATAAACAACCTAAATATAAAAGCTAAAAACATCAAACGCTTAGAAGAAACATAGGGGTATATTTTCACAATCTCAGATTTGGCAATGGATTCTTAGATATGGCATGAGCAACAATAAAAACATACATGGATAAAATGAACATCAGAATTAAAAACTTGTGCATCAAAGAACATTACAAAGTGAAAGGACAACATACAAAATGGGAGAAAATATTTGCAAATCATATATCTGGTAAGGGATTGATAACCAAAATATATAAAGAATTCCTCCAACTCAACGAGACAAATAATCCAATTCATAAAAGACTTGAATACGGGTGGCCGGTTAGCTCAGTTTGTTAGAGCACAATGCTCATAACACCAAGGTTGCCTCATGGGTCACTGAGTTGCGCCCTTCACAACTAGATTGAAACTACTTGACTTGAAGTTGATGGGTCCTGGAAAAACACACTGATCCCCAATAAAATTTAAAAAAAAGACTTCAATAGACTTTTCTCCAAAGAAGATATACAAATGACCAATAAGCAAATGAAAGATTCTTGACATCATTAGTCATTAAGGAGATGCAAACGAGACCAAAATGGGATCACCTCACACCTACTAGGATGGCTATTTTTTAAAACAAAGTATTGACGAGGAAGTGGAGAATTTGGAACCCCCACGCATTGGTAGTGGGAATGCAAAATGGTGTGGCCACTGTAGGAAAAACAGTTTAGCACTTCCTCAAAAAGCTAGACAGAATTATCATATGACCCACCAATTCTACTACTAGGTATTATAAAAAGAATTATAAACAAGTACTCAACAGATACTTGTAAGCCAATGGTTATTGTAGGATTATTCACAATAGCCAAAAAGGTAGAAACAATATAAATGTCCATCAACTAATGAATGAATAGACCAGGTGTAATATAGCCAGACAATGGAATATATTTAGCCATAAAAAGGAATTTCTGACATGCTACAACATGGATGAACCCTGAAAACATTATACAAAGTAAATAAGTGACATATAAAAGGACAAATACTGTATGAATTCACTTATATGAAGTACCCAGAGTTGTCAAATTTATGGAGACGAAGTATAGAGGTTACCAAGGGAGGAGAAAGAGGGGAGGGAAATGGGAAATTGTTGCTTAATAGTTGGCTTCTATTTGGAGTGGTAAAAAAGTTTCAGAAATATAGTGGTGATGGTTGTACAACATTGTATTGGGTTGTTGGAAAAGTCATGACGTATTTTTTCTGATTTTCATTGCAAAAATGCATCATGACTTTTCTGATAACCCAATAAATATAATTAATGCCACTAAATTGTACACTTTAAAATGACAAAATTTTTCTTACATTTTACAATAAAAAACAGGGAAAAAACATATTGAGGTTGTTCCTTGGTTCCTTCACCTTCTCCCAGTCTCCAGATCCTTCTCCCACACATCAGCCCAACTTAGTTCTTAAAGCATTTATACAGTACTCCCTACTTAAAAACAAAAAAACAAAAACCCCATTTCTTACTTTGCCTTTCCCTTTTAGAAACAGTAACTGCTGTAAGTCTTGGAGGTTTGACAACTAAGTTTGTGAACTTGTTGCAATGATGTTGCTAACCTTTCTTGATATCAGAGGATTATTCATTATAAATTTATACCACCTGGACAATTAACCAAGTTTACTATTTGGAAGTGCTGACAAGGCCGCATGAAAAATTTATTATTTTTTAAAGATTTTATTGGGGGGATTGGGAGAGGGAACAGCATTGGGGAATCAGGAAAGGGGAACAAACAAGTTGCTGTCCTTTTGTTCTTCAGTCTAGTTGTGGAGGACGTCGCTTCACTGGCCCATGTTGGTATTATCATTGTGCTCTTCCTGGGTGAGGCATTTGCTCACCGGCCATTGGATGGCCGTTCACAGCGGTTCACGAAAGTGCATGCCCGCTGCTGGCCAGCCCCACTGCAGCCTACGCCATCGCCGGTGACTCAAGGCAGCCCAGCTCCAGGTCGAGCTGTTGTTCACCATCTTAGCTGTAGAGGGCACAGTGTTACTGGCCCTAATGTGGGATCCGAACCGGGGCCCTGCTGCTCAGAGCTGGCATCCCAAGCCAACTCCTAACCAACGTGCTACTTGGCCAGCCCTGCATGAAAAAATTAAGATGACCTGAACTTTTTGTGAATAATTCATGGCTCTTGCATCATGATAATACATACACCAGCTCACTGGGTCCTGTCTGTGAGGGAGTTTTTAACCAGTAAACAAATAACTGTATTGGAACACCCTTCCTATTCACCCAATCTGGCCCCCAGTGACTTCTTTCTTTACCTGAAGATAAAGGAAATATTGAAATAAAGACATTTTGATGACATTCAGGACATCAAGGGTAACACAATGATAGCTCTAATGGCCATTCCAGAAAATGAGTTCCACAATTGGCGCTGGTGTCAGTGCATAGCTTCCCAAGGGGAATACTTCGAAGTTTACTATAATTATATTCAACAATGGGGCATGTAGCACTTTTTCTAGGATTAGTTCACGAACTTAATCATCCAACGTTCATAGATCACACCCACGCATGAGTGGCATAGCCCCCAATTTGAATTCCCATCCAGATTCAATTATTTGTATCGTCTATGCAACTATTATGGTCAGATCACTGTCCTTGTCCTTTGCTGTAGCGTAGGACACAGTCCTTGCTTTCAAGTTGTTGGAAATATACACAGAACAATTCAGGACAATGTGGAACAGTGTTTCCCTAATGTCAGTCATCTGGGTGCCACCTTCTCATAATAACATCTAGTTAATATAGTCCTAAATGGAACCAATTATTACAAAGAAGACTATTATAGCTGAGAAGAGGAAAACCAGTATCTCTTGTCATAAACATCACAGATAACCTGTCACACATCAGGAAGACAAAGCAGTTTAAGTTCTAGCTTTATATTTCTGCCCATCAAAAGTCTTGAGCCTAAGATCTGATCTCTGTCAAAAAGGGAAAGAAGGACGAGTGGCGTTGAAGACACCTTAGGAGGAAGCGAGGCTTTCTCCTTGCTGTAATGAAGACTGAACTGCAAGGGACTGACTTGCTCAGTATGCGACTAACTACAATTTACAACATTTCGTCAATTCTGAGATGCAGTCTTTTTTTCACGTTTTGAAATAGGGCTGCATCTTACCATCAACAAGCTGTTCGAGTAACAGCGTTCTGGGTTTTTTTCCTTAGCAGTAAAATTTCTTAAAGCCGATGGCCACTTGCACTGGGTGAAACGGCACGGTACACTGGCGGAAGGCCCTGGCGTCCCACGGTGCCCACCTGGGAACCCCTCGCGTCCACGACAGCTCCACGTCCGCCCAGAGCGCGCCGGGAACTCCTGCTTCCCACCCCGCCGCCCACTGCCCGCGGCGCCTCGAGCGCGCAGGGCCGGCCGAGGTCCCTTTCCTTCCCGCTCAGCGCTCCCTGAGGCCTCCCGACAGCGCCCCGCAGGGGACACTGCCGGTCACGCGCAGACCCCTTCCCAGGCCCGGCACAGACAGGTCGCGCACGACCAAGGTCACCCCACGGGCCGCACCACCCCGGGGCCACAGACGCAGCGCGGACGCGGCTCTGTGACGCCACGGCCCCGCCCGCGCGGCGGGGGACTCCTCCCGGGGCGGGGCTGCGTGCTGACGCCACACGCCGGGGCGGGGCCGAGAGTTTGGTGCCTTGGAGTGGGGTGTCGGAGCCTCATTCGGGTGGAGCAGAGTCGGAGAGAGGTAAGCGCGCGCGGCCGCCGGCCCGGCCCGGCCCAGGGTGGAGGCTCCGTGCCCTTCGGACAGAGGACGGGAGTCTCGGTAGAGGGCGAGGCCGCCGCGCCTTCGCCGGCGCCGGCGCCGCGGTGACAGGGAGCGAAGCTGGATAGAGCGGGGCTGACCGCGGGAGGTGGGCGGGACGGGGGTCTGACGGACGGGAGCAGCAGCCAGTGGCGCGGCGGGCGCCTCCTGGCGGGCGGAGATTGGCGGGTGCGGGCGCGCGCGGAGGTCGCGCGGAGCGCGGAGCGGCACGCCATTGGCCGTGGTGGGTGGGGCCGCGCGGCGGATGTGAGGGAACGGGCGCCACCGCGGGGGTGACCCCCAAGGTCGAGGAGGAGTCACGTGAGAGGCGCCCCTCCCCGTCCTCTGCGCGCCCGACGCGCTGGCGGACGGCGCGCCCTTGAAGCGGCTGCGGGTTCAGGACGCCGGGCCCCGCAACCCAGAACACAGTGTGGGGTTGGCTCCTTCCCCGGCAGTCCCTGCGCTCCTGGGGCGACGCCCTGCCCCGCTGCCCTCAGTACCTGCGGTACGCAGCACCCCACCCATCCTTCTTGCTCCTAGGGGTGACGCCCTCGGTGAGCGGATTACCGCACAGCACCCCACGTACTCAGTACCCACCGTACCCATCCTTTCTCTGCGCTCCTTGGGGAGCACTCTTGAGCAGATTACCCCCGCAGCACCCCACTGTGATCAGTACCCCGCGCGCGGTACTCCCTCCTGCGTGCTGCTGGAGTGACACCCCTGATGAGCAGGTCTGCCCTGCAGTACCCAGCACGCTCCTCCTCCACTCTTCACGCACCTTTTCCCTTCCGCAAAGTTGCCTGACATAAGAGTGAGTGGTGTGCGACACTGGTGTCAGGGACCCTGCGGTCTCTGCTCTTCACCCAGAACAGAGGAGAGATGACTCTGAGGCCGAGGTGCGAACTCTGTGTTGGGTTTCGCTGCACCTGGCTTTGCGGTCCTGTGCTTCGCCGCAGGAGCCGGAGGCCCACTTCCAGGTGTGTTGCTCTGAGCAGCTTTAAGACCAGTGCGCCGTTTGCACGGTGGCACACCACAGGTTTTTATGCGCACCAGCGCCTTAGGAAAACATGCAATGCTATTCTAGCTTTGCAAATAAGCGGAGACTAAATCTTGTAAAGTTGGAGAAAGATCAGAGTATCCTGATTATTTTTTTTGAGGGCACTTTCCACATTTTACTTTTTTTGCTTTAGCAGCTGTATTGAGATAGAATTCACGTACTGTACAATACACTCGTTTAAAGTATGCAAGTAAATGATTTGCAGCATATTCACAGTTATACAACTGCCCCACAATTCATTTATTTTTAAAGACTTACTTTAATTTCAGAAACAAGAGTTTCTGTTGGTTTTCATTTAAATTCGAATGCTGTTTATTACATGCCAAATATTTACTGTGTTTATTATACCTTCACACATACATGTATACATATGTGTTTATCAGAGCTGCTTTTAACTACTCATGTGTCCCATTTGAAAAAGAGACTGCACTATCAACCTTTTAAAATTTTAGGTAGTTTTTATTTTGGAATAATTATGCAATTATTGAGATATTTAGTTTGAGAAATTGTGCATACCATCTGTGGTATGCAGTTACAACCAGCAGCACAGAAAGGTCCCATGGCCCTTCACCCAGTCGGCTCCAGTGGTAACATCTTGCAAAAACTGTGCCTCAGTGTCACAACCAGGTACTGACACTGACAGCTGTGAAGATACAGAACAGCTCTGTCACCACAGGGCGCAGCCTTTTGGGATTGGCTTTTCCCACTCACATCATTCTCTGAAGAGTCGTGTAGATTGTTGCCTGTATCTGTAGTTTGTTCTTTTTTGTGCCTACAGGTTATGGATGTACCACAGTTGATTTAACTGTTCAGCCATTGAAAGACACCTGGGTTGTTTTCATTCTTTGGCTATTATGAATAAGGCTACTACAAACATCCATATACAGTGTTTATGTGAACATCAGTTTTCATTTCTCTGGAATAAATGTCCGGGAGTGCAATCACTAGATCATAGGGTAGTTGCATGTTTCGTTTTTTAAGAAATAGCCAAAGTGTTTTCCAGAATGGCTGTACCATCTTACATCCCACCAACAATGTATTTGTAATCCAGTTTCTCCACATCCTTGCCAGCATTTGGTGATGTTATAATTTTTTTATTTACCCATTCTCATACATGTGCAATGATGTCTCATTGTGGCTTTAATGTGCATTTCCCTGATGGCAGGTGATACTGACCGTATTTTCATGTGTACCTTTACCATCTGTGTATCCTCTTCAGTGAACAATGCCTGTTCATATCTTTTCCCATGTTGCAATTGGATCATTTGCTTTTGTTTAAGTGTTATTTTGTTAATTCCTTATATAGTCTAGATATTAGTTCTTTGTTCAGTATGTGGTTTGCTAATATTTTCTGCTAGTCTGTAGCTTGTCTTTTCAATTTCTTAACATGGTCTTTTGCACAGCAAGAATTTTAACTTTAATGAAGTCTAGTGTATTAATTTGAATTGTGCTTGTGGTATCAAGTCTAAGAACTTTAGCTCTAGTTCCTGAAGATTTTCTCTTATGTACTTTTCTAAAAGTTTCATAGCTTTGCATTGTACGTTTAAGTGTGTGATCCACTTGGAGTGACTTTCTGTGTAAGGTGTAAAATCTAGATTGAGTGGGGTTTTTTTCTTTTTTTTTTTTTACTCTGGATATCCAGCCAACACCATTTGTTGAAAAGATTGTTCTTCCTCCACTGAATTGTTTTTGCATGTTTATCAAAAATCGGTTGTGCACATGTGGGTCTGTTTTCTAGTTCTCGTTTCTGTTCCATTTATCTTTTTTTCTATCTTATCATCAATACCACACTTGATTACTATAGTTACAGTAAATCTTGAAATCAGGTAGATTGATTCATCCCACTTTATTTTTCAAAATCGTTTTTGCTAATCTCATTTCTTTGCCTTCGTATATAAATTTTAGAGTAATCTTATCTAATATCTTAAAGAAATCTCACTGGGATTTTGATAGGAATTACGTCATGCCTGTATATCAATTTGGAGATAATCAACACTCTTCCAGCCCATTAGCACAGTGTATCTCTCCATTTGCTTAATTTTTTCATTGTTTTCATCAGTGTTTTGTAGTTAGCATACAAGTCTTGCACATGTTTTGTTAGACTTACACTAAGTATTCCCTCTTTTAAAATTTTTGGTTTTCATGTGTGTATGGACAGTATATAGAAATACAATTGATTTTTATATGTTTATCTCGTATCCTGTAACCCTGCTGAATTCACTTATTCTGTGAGTGTTTTTGTAGCTTCTTGAGGTTTTGTACATAGACAGTCATGTCATCTGCAAATAAGAGTAATTTATTTCTTACTCTCTGGTCTGGATGCCTTTTAGATCCTTTTCTTGCCTTACTGTCCTGGCTACAACTTCCAATACTGTTAAATAACAGGGACGAGAGTGGACATCCTTACACTACTCCGTTTTAGAAAGAAGCCTTCGGTCTTTCACCATTAAGTATAATGTTAACTGTAGGTTTTTGTGGATGCTTTATATCAAGTTGAAGTTCCCTTCTATTCTTAGTTTTCTGAAAGTTTTTATCATGAAGGGGTGTTGAATTTTGTCAAGTGCTTTATCTGCATCTATTGATATGATTGTGTGATTTTTCTTCTCTAGCTTGTCAATATGGTAGGCTACAATGTTTTTTGTTTGGGTTTTTTTTGTTTTGTTTTGTTTTTTTAATATTGAACTAGCTTTGTATCTCTGGAATAAACCCCACTAGGTCACTGTATATAATTGTATTTATATATTGCTTAATTCTCTTTGCTATATTTTGTTAAGCATCTTTTTCATCTGTATTCATGAGGGATGTTAGAGTTTAAAGTTTTTTTTGTACTTTGTCTGGGTTTGGTATCAGAAATATTAGTTTCATGAGATGAATTGAGAAGTGTTCCCTCCTCTTGTATTTTCTGGAAGAGATTCTGTAGAATTGGAGTTAATTTATCTTTAAACATTCGGTAGGCTTCCCCAGTGAAACCATCTGGGCCTGAAAATTACATTTTTAGGAGCTTTTTTAATTGCAAATTAAAGTTCTTTAATAGTTGTAGGGTTATAAAGTTATCTGTTCCAAATTGGGTGAGTTGTGGTAATTTGTACTTTTGTTGAGTTTTTCTCTATCTTTGTTGATCTTATGTCTAGTTGTTTTATCCTTTTTGAAGGCGGGGAGGTTCAAATCTCCAACTATAATTGTGGGTTTGTCTTTTTCTCTTTCCCCCCTTTTTTTTTTTTTAAAGATTTTTATTGGGGAATTGGGGGATGGGAACAGCCCTGGGGATTGGGGAAAGGGGAACAGACAAGTTGCTGTCTTTTTGTTCTTCAGTCTAGTTGTGGAGGACGTTGCTTCACTGGCCCAAGTTGGCACCATCATTGCACTCTTCCTGGGCAAGGCACATCAGTCGCCGGCTTCTGGACGGCCGCTCACTGTGGCTGCTGGCCACTCACGCTGGCTGCTGGCTACACACGGTAGCCCATGGCAGCCCCCCTGCCACAGGGGCTGCAGCCTACACCCTCGCCGGCGACTCCCAGCAGCCCAGCTCCAGGTCGAGCTGTTGTTCAGCATCTTAGCTGTGGAGGGCAGTGCCACTGGCCCTCATCTGTGGGATCCGAACCGGGGCCCTCTGGCGTCCCAAGCCAGCTCTTAACCAACGTGTCACTCGGCTGTCCCTCTTCACTTTTATTAGTTTGATTTGCATATTTTTCACTATGATGTTTGGTGCACACACACATTTAGGATTGCTTTATCTTCTTGGTGGGTTGGTTTTTTATTGTTATGTAATGGCCCTCTCTGTCTCTGGTAATTTCCTTTGCTCTAACGTCCATTTTATATGAGAATAATATAGCCCTTATTTCCTTTGATTTATGCTTGCATGGTATATAATTTTCATTGTTTTGCT